GAAGTTTGGCTGAGTGTGGTGACTCACGCCTGTAATCCTAGCCACTGTGGGAGGTTGAGACAGGTGGACTGCTTGAGCCCAGGAGTTTAAGACCAACTTGGGCAACATGGTGAAACTGTCTATAAAAAATACAAAAATTAGCCAGGCATGGTGGCATGGGCCTGTGGTCCCAGAGAACCAGGAGGCTGAGGTGGGAGGACTGCTTGAGCCTGGGTTGCAGTGAATCATTTTGAGCCGAGGTGCCTGTTTCATGAATGAATGAATGGTAAAGGGAAGTTGTTCAGATAGATGGTAAGTGATACTACATAAAAACTTGAGCAGGGTGCAGTAGTGTACACTTGTAATCCTAGTACTTTGGGAGACTGAGGCCAGGAGTGTGAGACCAGCATGTGCAATATAGCAAGAGCTGTCTCTACAGAAAATAAAATAATTAGCTGGGTGTGGTAGCACATGCCTTATTCCTAGCTACTTGGGAGTCTGAGGTGGGAGGATCCCTTGAGCCCTCGAGATTGAGGCTGCGTGAGCTATGATCATACCGCTGCACTCTAGCCTTGGTTCACAGCAAGAACGCTGTCTCTAAACCACCCCTCCACACTAAAAAACCTCCTAAAACACAAACAAAGAATAAAAAAAGAAAAAAAAACCCACTAAAAAAACCCTTGGGTATTTAAAAATAAATGAAAAGCACTCAAAATTATAAATATGTAGGTAAATATACAAGACTTTATCTTAATTTCTTAAAAAAGAAAAACTGTTGAAAGCAAAAACTCTAATATTATATTAGAGACAATAATATATACAGAAATGTAATGACAACTATCGCATAAAGGATGAGGCAGTAGTAAATGGAACTATATGATTGCAAGGTTCTTACATTTCACTTGGAGTGGTACAACATTAACTTTAAGTAAGCCATGAAAAGTTGTATTTCTAGAGAACCCTCTAAAATACAAAATGCTAAATGGCTATTAGGCTCAACTATACGCTGCCTAGAAGAGATGCACTTTAAAGACACAGATAAGTTGAACATAAAAGAACAGAAAAATAAGCAGGGTGCATTGGCTGGCGCCTGTAATCCTAGCACTTTGGGAGGACAAGGTGAGCGGATCACCTGAGATCATGAGTTTGAGACCAGCCTGACCAACACAGTGAAACCCCATATCTACTAAATACAGTATACAGAAAATTAGCCAGGTATGGTGGTGCATGCCTGTAATCCCAGCTACTTGGGAGGCTGAGGCAGGAGGATGACTTGAATCCCAGAGGCCGATTTCAAGAGCCAAGACTGCACCACTGCACTCATTCCAGAGTGAGACTGTCTCAAAAAAAAAAAAAAAAAAGAAAGAAAGAAAGAAAGAAAAATATATACCATGCAAAGTACAAAAAAACTAGGTTAACTATTAATATGAGACAAAATAGATTTAAAGATAAGGCATATTACTAAAAATAAAGGGGGAGCATTTCATGATCAAAAAATGGCCAATTCTTCACAAAGGCGTAATTTTAAGTATGTAGGCCCCTAAAAACAGAGCTCAAAATTCATGAAGCAGAGACTGACATTAAAAGGTAAAACAGATACTAAAAAGTAAAAGACATAAAACAGCTAAATAACACTAAACATCTTGACCTAACTGACATCTTTATAACACTGTACCCCAAACTGCAGAATACATATTCTTTTTAAATACATATGAAAAATTCATATATAAAAAAAGGAAACTATATACTGGGCCATAAAACAAGTCTCAATATAAAGAATTGAAATTTTTTT